CGGAAAAAGCGCAGAGAAAGAACTGAGGACAGCAGCTTTGACTCAGTCCCTCTACTGTCACAGGTGCCCCTGCCATACTTCTTGGGGTCTTTTCTGTCTTTCTGAGACAGGGTCTTGCTGTGCAGTTCAGGCTGGCCTTGAGCTCACTTTGTAGCCCAGGTTGACCTCGAACTTGCAGTGATCCTCCTGCCTCAGCCTCCCGAGTGCTGGGATTATAGGCATTTGCTACCCACCTGGCAATTCACTCGTTGTTTGAAAGCTTTGTTTCAAACAGTCGAGCAATTTATGCACTGTCTAAATGCATGACAGCTGATGAACAACTCGTATCACTTCACGGTTGTGGGAGCTTTCAGCAATATCTGTCAAGTAAACCATCCAAATGTGGCATGAAGACACATGTACACCCTGAAGATGTGAAGACATTTTCACCCTAAATTTAGCAATTTATCCTGGAAGCCAGCCACCAGGCCTTTATCTGTGCAGTAATAAACGGTGTGACACCGTGAACAGACTTGGTGCACCTGTTTCAAAAAGTAACCAATGTGACACTGAACAGTTGGTCCACTAGGGACGCACTGATGTTACATTTGCTGAAAGCACCAGCGGACCAGCCCACGAACTGCTCCCAAGGACACAGCGGAGAGTCCTGAAAAACTTTTGCAAACTCACAGTAGAGAAGCATATAGTACAATCTCTGGATTTCAGAAGGAGGTATCATTGGCCTCCTACATGCCAAAGAAAAACAAAGTAGTATTGATACTGTCAATGTCATACCACGATAAGATTGATAGTGAAGCCAGGCATGGCGGTGCACACCTGTAATCCGAGCACTTGGGAGGCTGAGGCAGAAAGATCCTGTGAGCTCAAGTTCAGCCTGCGCTACATAGTTCCAGGCCAGCCAGGACCACATACTAAGACCCAGTTTCAAAAACAAAGGCTACTGAATCCTCAACACAAATGAGGCCAGAAACGGTCACCTATTACAACAAACTGAAAGGCGGAGTAGATGCTGTTGACCAGTTATGCAGCAACTACACTGTCATTCAAGACACAAAGCGTTGGCCAATGGCCATGTTTTACTTGATCCTAAACATGTCAGGCATAAATAGATTCATAGTTTACAAAGAAAATAACAAGCACAAAATATCATGGAGAAATGTCCTTAGTGGATTGGGGCAGGAATAAATGACCACTTACAACAGAGGAACAACAGTACCTATCATATGTATCTGCCCGGAGAACTCTGCACCAGAGTTCTGGAGCAGACCGGTGAACAGACGGCCAACATCACAAGAAGCTCCTGACAAAGCAGGAAGACCATTGGCCAGGGATATAGCTCATTGGCACAAGCACCTGCCTGGCAAGCGCAAGGTCCTGAGTTCCATTCCTGGTACCAAAAACAAGGAAAAGAAAAGAGACTAGCCAGGCGTGGTGGCACATGCCTATAATCCTACCACTTGGGAGGCTGAGGCAGGAGGGTCGTTGAGTTCGAAACCAGCCTGGGCTACAAAGTGAGCTCAAGGCCAGCCTGAACTGCATAGGGAGATGCTGTCTCAAAAAGACCATAAACAAACAAACAAAAAACAGGAAGACCAGGAAGAGGTCAAGCGTGTCCTGCCGGAGAAGACAGGAAAACAACACACGTGCTGCCAGTGTATGCCACACATGTGCATGGAACATGCTGTTCTCATGTGTGAAAGCTGCCTTTGCTGTGATAAGTGATTATTTTTGTGATAGGATTTATTTGTATTGTCCTAATTCACATAGGAATTTATTTCTGCAGTTATTTTTGAGATCTTTTAGGCAAATTCCCCGTACAGTTGATGTTGAAAATGTTGATGTTAGGGCTGGGGATTTAGCTCAGCGGCAAAGCACCTGCCTGGCAAGCGCAA